GGAAAGCCTATTTTACAAGGTGGTATTCATGGTCGAACATCAGCTACTGGTCGTGGTTTATATCACGGTGTGAATAATTTTATGAATGAAAAATATTATATGGATAAAGTTGGTTTGACAACAGGTCTTGCTGGAAAAACATTTATTGTTCAAGTAATTAAAATATGAAAAAAGAAATTAAAGAAAATTTTGATTTAATTCATTTTTAGGGTGCTGGTAATGTTGGTTATCATTCTATGCGTTATTTAACTCGACATGGTGCAAAATGTGTTGGAATACTTGAATGGGACGGAGCTATTGTTAATCCAGATGGTATCGATCCAAAAGCACTTGAAGAATATAAATCTGAACGTGGAACTATTGTTGGCTTTCCCGGTGCTAAACCATATGAAAAATCTGACAAACAAGAATTACTTTGTGAACAATGTGATATTCTTGTACCGGCAGCAAGTGAACAACAAATTACATCAAAAAATGCTCATCGTATCAAAGCTAAGATTATTGCTGAAGGTGCTAATGGACCAACTACACCAGCAGCAGATAGAATACTTCTTAAAAAAAATGTCTTAGTTATTCCAGATATGTATGTTGTACGTATATGATATTTTAAGAAGTAAAAACAACATTGATAAACTAAAATTTATTTTTCTAAAGAATGCTGGTGGTGTAACTGTCTCGTATTTTGAATGGCTTAAAAATTTAAATCATACATCATATGGTCGATTAACATTTAAATATCAACGAGATACAAATTATTCACTTCTTGGTAGAATTTTTTATTTTTTGAAACTTTTGTTATTGTTTGTTCTATTTAGAAAGTGTTCAAAGTTCATTAGAAGCTAAATTTGGTAAAATGGGAGGACAAATTCCTATTGTAAGAAAATCAATTGAATGAATAAAATCAAATATATATTTTATTCTAGATTCCAAGTGATCAATTTTTTAAACGTATGGCCGGTGCATCAGAAAAAGACATCGTACATTCTGGTCTTGAACAAACAATGGAAAAATCTGCACGTGCTATTATGGAAACAGCTCAAAAATTTAATTTAGGTTTAGATATACGTACAGCTGCTTATGTAACTGCATTAGAAAAAATTTATAATGTTTATGTTAGTGCTGGTATGACTTTTGGTGTTTAATATGGAAGATCAGCAATCAGATAGTTACATCGGAATATAAAATTTGTTTGTTGTATAATTTTTTTTAGTTTTTCCGAATTTAATTTAATATGACCAATCCAAATCTTTATGAATGTATTTTTAGATTTAATATCGAACGAAAATGTTGAAAGCAACATTACGTAATAACCAATCATTATATCAAATCTCAACATGTTCAATAATACGTTTATCTTCTCATGCGGCAACAACAACAACAGCCCAACCTCAACAAGCTGGACCAGGACATTTTGGTTTCTATCGTCAAGTTGAATTATTTTATGATCGTGCTGCAAAAATTCTTGAAGAAAAATTAGTTAATGATATGCATAAATCAAAATTATCTGATGATTTAAAACGTAAAAAAGTTCGAGGAATATTAAAAATTATTAAGCCATGTAATCATGTTCTCGAAATTCGTTTTCCTATTCGAAGAGATAATGGAGAATTACATATGATTGAAGCATATCGTGCACAACATTCACAACATCGTACACCATGTAAAGGTGGTATACGTTATTCATTAGATGTTAATTTAGATGAAGTTAAAGCTCTGGCTGCATTAATGACATATAAATGCGCTTGTGTCGATGTACCATTCGGTGGTGGAAAAGCTGGTGTTAAAATTAATCCTAAAGGTAAATATTCATTTCAGTCTATGTAATATATACGTATGATTTCTTTTTTGCAAATGTAGACTGGTCTGAAGCTGAATTAGAACGTATCACAAGAAGATTAACA